AGCCTCCGGAATTTTGTCATCTGCTTTCTGACACCATTATATCACACCTTCGATGTATCAGACGTACGATTCTGTGGATGTCTAAGCTTGAGACACGAGCAGTTTGTTCATGCCTATCTTTCTTGTAACAGGCATCCCAAACAAATCCAAGCTTTTTGGTCTGCACTTTGCCTGACTCCCAGTTTCTGTCATACCATATTTAGGCAGCTCCTCTGAGATAGATCTATATCAGGTTAGCCAGCACAAGAGTCTGGTCCCATCAGTTGCAAGTACTCAGCCTGCCAATTCTCTACATTTACTTCATCGGGAATGCCGGAACCACTAAGCATGCCTGAATCTCACGGGGGTTCGAGCATGACCATTGTTATCGCTGGAGCAGAGGCAGTCACTACATCACCTTCATGCTCAGGAACACTGGGTGTAGATGCAGATGCTGTATTTTCCACCATTGTTGCAGAATGACCCCTCAAATGACAGCTGCTGCGTAGTTTCGTTGTGAGGCATATTGTACCTGGCACCAAATGTGACAGAGGCAAGATTTAGATTTATTCACACAGTGGATCATCAGCCAAACAATATGGCTGATGAGTCCAATGTGTAAACGCTTCACATTTTTTCGTCATCTTTATCTTTGGCGAGCACTGGAGTGATTGATGTCTATGTCGCCCTATAACAATATACAGTAGACTCACAATAATTCAAACTCTGATAATTGATACTTTTGGTTAATTAAAAAAATTCAATTTTTAGTTGGCCCTCAATATATTTAAAAGCCTCTTAATTCTAACTCCAGCATTTAATTCATACTTTTTACAGTGCCATACCAGAAAGTATGTGCTGCTTTCCCACTGCTATTTAAAAATTTGTTGCTCTAAAAATAAAAAATAAGCATTTTAAGCCTTCAAGGAAAAAGGCATCGCTAGTAAACAAATGTTTGAAACAAAGCAAGCCCAAGGTAAACCGTGATGCTTCTCAACTGGTATAGAGCTCTGTGCTGAAGGCACGTACCTACAGCATATAAAAAGTTGACAATTCACTATTTCTTGAAAAATTAAGATCAGCAGTATATGGCCAATAAACTTGTGGACCTTACACCTCTGCTTTCTGTTCATTGTGTGCAGTTAGGGTTTAAAAATACCTGCAAAAATTTTATATGTGATAAAATCAATGCCTAATCAAAATGTATGGTGTCACCTCACCCAGTGTCATCTATCAGAGAACTTTTAATAGTTTGAAATTCTTCATAGTTCAAACAAAGTTCAGAGGTCCCTTTGAGTTTGAATTAACGAGAGTCGACTGTATTCTTAAAGGGGCCCTGCAACACTTTTTGAGCATGGTCAGAAAACGCTGCCTAGTGGTAGAAGCTCCCGAACAACATGCGAGCCAAATATTATTGGCCGCGAGATTGAGCAGGGTCGCTGCCTGGCAGCAACTGGCTAAAATGGTGAAGTGTGGATTGCTCCTTACGTCGTCTGCTGGCCACGTCCTGTTTCTATGTGCGCGCACGTCACGCACGTTCTTAAGGTTTGATTTGTCCTGTCATGTCAGTGCGAGTGTAACTGTTTATATGTGTGCCTGAAACCACATACGAAAGCATTTGATCTTTCTCTGCTGCTAATGTTTATTAATAAGATTGGCGTGTCCAACTTTCCAGATTGCTGTTTATTGTTGTCTTACCCTCCATTCACCAGAATAATTTCAGGGTGGGTGCTGCTTTCTATTTCTAGCACATTGCAAAATGCTCTTTGCATACTCCCAAACATGGGGACTAATAAATGGTGTGTGAATGCAGCATTTCATAACAACTTGGTTGTAAAAAAAAAAGAAAACATTGATTGATATGTGGGATTTAACGTCCCTAAACCATCGTATGATTATGAGAGACGTCGTAGTGGAGGGCTCCGGAAATTCAGACCACCTGGGGTTCTTTAACGTGCACCCAAATCTGAGCACACGGGCCTACAATATTTTCGCCTCTATTGGAAAAAAAAAGAAGAAAACAAGCTCTAGGTTATGCACTTACGTGCTGTTGGTAGGGATACAACTACGGCACTGTAGCTTATCAATGATGCGAGGCACCTTAGTTGTGTTTATCTGGCCGTAATACCACCACATAGAAATATTACTATCACAAACTGTAACACATCGGTACTTATATTGTACCTAAAACAAAGTTACCATGCGCGACCATGTGCTTCGATTTAAGAATGCTCTAAAGAGCCCAGACGTTTAAAATTAATTCAGATGGCATGCACTATATATAATGTCGTATAACTTCACTGAAAATTTCATCTTTTTTACATGGTTTTCAGTGTTTGTGTGGCATTGTTAGGGACTGACGGAAGGCAGTGGTAATTTTTGTTTGAAAAAAGAAAAAAAAAAACATGATTGTCCCATTAACTAGGCCTTTGTTGTACTGCCGTCATGCACGTAATTCATCGATTAAAGCTTTCTGCTGAACTCCTATAGAAGATTTTTACTGGTGCAAGAACATGTGCGTGCACGTGGTAAATGCAGTGCATCGCAAAGCGCCGTTAGCCACTAAGTTTTGTTGATTAGACTTATGGACTGTCCCACATTTCATGGTTAACAGATCGAGAAAAAGGAATCATATGCGTATAAAGTGCGAACGGTGGTACTCAACGAATCGCACAGATATGCGGGCTTTCTACGATCTTTCTTTCTCTCTTTTTTTGTAGTATGGAGATGACAAAGATGTAAATAAGTAGTTCAGTCACGCTACAGCAGTGCGTAGCAGGCAGAACACAAGCTAACCTCATACGAATAACACAGAAAAGGCGTGATTTAGTGCGAAAGCAAGAAGAGTCGCCCAGGGCGAGCATTCCTATGAAAGGCAGAATGCACTTAACTCGCGGGTAATGTCAACGTTGCGTAGGAGTCGTACATTGATCCAGTAGAGAAGAGCGTAGATATCAACAGAAAACTGTAGTCAACGCATTTTATCTGCCGACAACTGTCTCGGACAGCACGCAACGAAGCGCCGCTGAGTGTATTTGTATACGCGCCACTGACCGCCTATCCACACTTTCGTGGGGCAGTACTGCCACCTATAGCCCGATCTTGCCGCGAATAGTGCAGGACGTGGCCTGGAATTCACAATAAATTATCAATGAGAGCTAAAGGTTGCTTTTTATTTTTTGGAAAAATCAGGGAAGATGCCCTAAAATCACTCGTAAGAAGACCATCAACGAGCCATCGGCTCATTTTAACTTGGCACGTTTGGTTGTTACGGAGATCGCCGCAGAATGCCGCGACTTGTCTATGTGTGCGCGCGGGATCACACTGAAAAAGCCGCACATTCAAAGAAAAAAAAGTGCTCAAGAGCATAAGGCCGGGGTGATGTTTCTTTCGCCCCTGTCATCCTTCCCTGCTTAGCTTCCAGTGCTTTTGTCGGAACGAGAGAAGAGAGAATGCAATGGCAGCATGCGACAAATCTTTGTAAATCCACTCGCACTGAACGGATTTTTAAAATTTTTTGCAGCGTTGAATTCGTCAGGCAATAAGCTCTTCCAGTTAATTGATTCTATGTTTACTTGAAAAAGTGTTTCATAGCCCTTTTGAAAAGATATTTCGACTCTCTCATGAGAGAGCGCCTTGTTCACAATCGCTTGCATGTAGGAGCCTTTTTGAGAATATTTTTTTTACTCCAGTCAGCATTGTGTTTTCTTTGTCCATCCTTCAATTTGATTATGCACACGATGTGAGCAAGGTGTTCTTGAACTTGCGCAGCTGGTATCAGTAATACTGGCATATTCGATGGCACATGTATAAGCCCCAATGTGCTTCACTGTTTGACGGATTATTGATGGCTGATGCTCTGTTGGCCAATATTAATGTGCAGCGTGCATTGCTTGATGTAGTTTGAGCTTCCGTATGCTGGCGACAAGTTTGAAAGAGTTTCGTCTTCGACATGTCAACAGCTGGCTTCATCAACGTCACGGCCATGTGACAATACAGCAATCCCAAATAGTATTTGCATGCTTAGACTAATATTTTAACATATAGTGTAGTAGCGTGAATTCGACCGGACACAAGGACAAGAAGAAACACGACACTCGCTAGCCCAGCTCCTTACCCTGCTGAACTTAGAATGCTATGTCATTCTTGCATTCCTTTGTGAACCTTTTTTCTAACTTAGGGTGTGCAAAAGACTTCCCAAGCATAGAACCCATCAAATAGGAGATGCAGAGTGGCGATTTGATAGCAGTTTATCGGTTGATTAGATGTCAGTTGGCATATCTTGCAGGGTAATCCATGCTTGGTGCATTACAAAGCTTCAAAGAAGTTGGGAGGTGCTCCTACTTTACTTGCACTATCAAGGTGAACTTTCCCTTGATTCTGCCAGGCTCTACGAGTCTGCTGGCCTTTTAAAAGGGTCCTGTAACACTTTGAGCAGGGTCTGACAACACTGCCAGTCGCTAGTCAATGCTTTCAAGAACACGCAAGCCTTACATTGTAGCGTGACCTGGAATTTACAATAAATTTTCAAAGGCTGCTAGAAACTCTTCCCTCTACAAATGATGCCAAGTCCATGGGCAGTCTGAGTTCAGCAGTGCGGGCTGCATAGCTACTGTGGAAAGCTGCAACGTTCATGTGGGAGCACTTGCAGTCACATTAAAGGTAAGCCAAGTCGGCTGCGCATTTGAAGAAAAGGAAGTGCTCAAGGTTATGATGTACACTGACTGACGTAGAGGGGCATTTTCTTGCCTCTTTGACATCCCCCTCCTGAGCATGCTTGCTTATATGAGAGAAGCAAGAAAGTGCTTGAAAAATGTGACCAATCCCTGTAACTTCACTAATACTTGACGGATCCTAAAGGTTTCGGTGGCATGTGATTCATGAAGCTCATGTGCCCCTAGCGGAACTATTCCATTTTAACTTGGAAAATTGATGCAGGCCCCTTTTAAAAGAAAGAAGCATATCATATTTTTTCAGTCAGGCCCTGCTTTCAGCTTTGACAGCTTTACTTTTTTGTGCAGGAGAGATGTGGATGCGCCCAATCGTGGTGGTTGGACGCCCCTGATGCATGCTGCCTGTTCTGGCCAGCGGGACACACTGCGGCTGCTGCTGGAGCTGGGTGCCAACGTTAACATGCGAGGTGGCAGGCATGGGCGCACAGCCGCTATAAATGCGGCCATGTATGGATATCACGAATGCATTGCCCTTCTTCATGAGGTGATGCCTATTTCACGAGAGTTGTTTTGAGCAGACTTATTTAATCATGCTAATTGCAAAACTTTAAAAGCCCCAACATACTGATGGATGAATGCTATGTGGATGTTAGCGAACCAACACATTGTCAGGGATCTAAGGTGCACCGAAATCTGAGCACACGGACCTACAACATTTCCGCCTTCATCGGAAATGCAGCCGCCACAGCGCCGGGACTTGATCTCGCGGCCAATGGGTCAGCAGTCGAGTACCTTAGCCACTAGACCACCGCGGCGGGGCCATTTGTCTATGAGAACAGGCTTTTGGACAAGTTGGTTTGTTATATTCATTGAAGCACTGATAAGAAAGGGACCACAGAAAGGGGAGCGCATGTCCTGTTTTCTTTCTGGAGCCCCTGTCTTAACAGCGCTGTGGCTTCAGTGACTGTGTAACATCGCTTGTTCTTGGTGAATTTAAGAAATTTTGTGGCAGTTTATTCATGAGGCAATAAGCTGCAATATTAAGATAATTCGATCATTACTTAGAAAAGAGGCTCAAGACCATTTTGAAGCAAAATTTTAGTTTGAGCTAGTTGGTCATACATACTTGCTCAAACACCTAGCAGACGACACAGGAGACATAATAGGTGCCAGCTATGAACTAGTTTTACTCACTGACAAACTAAGCATATACAAACCACATTATCAGGTCATGCACACCATCTTGATCACCAGAGCATTAAAAGCTGCGTATATCGGCAGTGTTTTTGGTGGGCATTTAACTGGTAGCTGTGCTCGTGCTGTGCTCGTTTGCTTCGCAGCTACTAGATGTTTGTAGAAGCCCCTGCTAAAGCCCCCTGCAGCCCCTAAGATTTATAGATTATGTGTGTGAGTGAATTTATTGTAGTAGAAATGCATCTCAAAAGTTGAGCCAAGATAAGGCGTGAGAAATGAGGTATTGAGAGAGGTCTTTGAAAATAGAAAAATCACGATTGTAACGAAAAATAGATAAAGTACCTACAACAAAGGGTGCACATTTCAGTGGCTACAATATCATTTGTGAGACATCAGTTGCAAACCTAGACGCAATGCTCACTTTTTCAAGCTTGTGGTCTTGTGCAACCCAGCACACACCATACCAACAGCTGAAACCCAGAATAGAAGGATGTCTTCTTCAGCGGAGCAGTAGTTATGGCGCTCAGCTGCTGCCCCCATATTTATAGAAGCCTCGGTATGCTAGAGGCCTGTGCATGTAAGTGCACGTTAATGAACAGATGGTCAAGCTTTCTGGAGTTCTCCACTACAATGTCTCTCGGGATGTATAAAATGCCAGATATTATTATTAAAATGATGGTTTGTGCTTCACTGAAAAATCCCTGCAATACTTTTTAATTATTATAAAATGTTATTACGCTCAGCTGGCTAACAAATTTCTTGCTTCAAAAATTTTCTATTCTGTCGAATATATGCTCCTTCTTCTCTTTTACTATTACTTTAGAAGATACATATAGGGATATGGCAGCAGAGCGATGCGTCAACCAAATGCTACATGGTCGCACGTTATGTCCTCAAACGATTTCCTTTTTTTAAACCATGCTGGCTGCATCTCCTGGTTCAGACCTGTATCTTTGTTCTACCTCTTTTATTGTGTAACAGAATTTATTTTGCCTTCTGCCCATTTGATAAGTGTTGACGAAGTGCTTCAGACTTGGGACGAGTGGCGTTGCACATAGGACGGGACAAAGGAAGGAAGACGACAACACACCGAGTGCAAATTTTCACCAGTTTATTGGCAAGAGGCAAGGATGCAACAACCTGCCTCTTTATCAAAGTCCAAACTATCAAAAGTCTAAATGAACTATGTATTTATCATCAGAAGAGGGCGCGAGCTACATGCCAAACGCTGAAATGAAGTGATGGTGCACAAGGTCCCGATGGTGTGAATACGTGCCACGTTCTCGCATTGAATTGGTTGGAGGAAAGCCCAATGTGCGTGACCAGAGCTGTGGTGGAAAATTTCCTGAATTTAAGATGGCATTGTCTTGTGGAGTACCGAACGAGGAAGTTTGAGGAAGACAGCGTCGCTCTGACGGTGAAGGCTCGGTTAACCGGGATCTGGAGGTAGTGGCGTTGGGACGCCTGAAAGCAGCTGTCAATTATGGTAGTCACCAAAAGACGCTCCCTGGCCCTGAAGCACATTGCAACAGCAGTTTCTGGGACGCCTGTTGCTATTCACCTCCTTCACAGGATGGCCCCAAACCACTTGACAGTCCTCAAAGTTTGATGTGACAGGTATGCTTAACTTGCTGAGACCCACGACAATCGAGTCATAAGCAAAGACAAGTGCATCGTCAAAAGGATGCGGGTTGAGGACGATTATTGCAAGACGTCTTCCCAAACTTCGATGATGGGAAGCTTATGTCGTAGTTGCAGACCGCTACCATGAACAGTTAGCACGTTCGATTTCAGAGCTAGCGTCTTTGAGTAATCGCATAGAAGCCATAGTGGCTATAGATTGGCTAGCGATAGAGGGAACTCTAATGTAGCTTGATGCGAGTTTTGGTTTCAGTGTATAGCTGAGTTTTGTGTGTTTGTGGGCGCTATATTAGTTTGAAGTGTTTGCGTTTTCCTTTCTTTGTTAGATAAAGTGTGTTTGTCTCGCCACCACTATCCCCCGTCTCTCTCAGTTCTATCCTTAGAAAACACTCCAGAGATAATCGTGGCAGTATTAGTACAGCTTTCATCTCCTTCCCAAAGGAAGAACTGGAATGTCTGAGTGACATGGCACATGTAAGTCAGTGTTTCTTGTAATTACCTCCTACTGCTATCATGGGTACTGTTTGTAAATCACCACGTATACGATATTGTTTTCACGATTTTAATTTGCATGCTGTCACATGCCTTTTATTAAATTTCATTGCTCAATGTTGTTATGAAAATGTCTGATACGGTTCCTTTGCACTCGCCAACAAACTGTTGATAAGTTTCCTCTGTGTGTGCTATTGCATTCATTCCTTTGTTCTATCCTATGTGCAAGGTTCTAATGAACCTATAAGCCAAAGTGGAAACCCTTGAGAAACATTCTATCTTTAGCATTAAAAATCAACTGTGTCAATACATTTTACACGCCGTGACTCATTGCTATTGATTAAGGATGGTTAAATGAGGGAAGTGAGATGGAAAATATTAATCAGTTACTTTAATACAGTTTCATGCATCATTATCGTCATCACTACTGCCACTTTTGGTAATACGCTGCTTCAGCACTAATTTATCGAACAAGTGTTTATTCAGCCCAAATAGCCACTAGCAATAAAGATCTCATGGTTGAAACAAACGGTCTAGTGATAATTATTGCTGAGAACATTTGGCTGGAAGCACACCCAAATGATTCGTCTTGTGGGATTATTTGAATGCTTTGAATATTTGAACAAATATTACAGTATTCAAAATCGCTTCAATTCTTGTATAAATTAGTGAAAATTTTGAAATATTAGAGATGAATGAATAGGTGTATGTTAACCCGCACACAACTTCCTGCAAAGCTAGTTTTACTGCAGCAGATGGGTGCTAAGTCGTTTTATTGAACGTCAGATCCTGCTACTATTTAAAAAACTCACTTTCGTTGACCAAACAAACAAAAACAAAAAAGTCACAGCTTTGCCACAAAGATGAAGCAAGAAACGCGATAGCAACAAATTGGAAGGTCACGCGCAAAATGGCAAGCAGATCGAAACGTACCCAGCGTTTTTCACACACAAGTAATGCACGGAGCGTGCTCACAGGTACAGATGGACGTGAATAAGTGTCTCAGTTGTTACTTCACTGTGTCTGAAAAGCACGCTCTTTTTACAAACGGAGACTGTGCAATGACTGCAGTGACCTTTGTGTGCCAGGTAACTACCACAGAATCATTCCGATGAAAGCTAAAGGCCAGCCAAGACGTACGATCCTCCCCACTGTGAGATAAGGGTGCGCGAGTGAACGTCCAGGGCCTTTACGTTTAAGTCTTCTAAGCTACAACTTATTTATCTTTCATGGGTATGCTTATGATCAGCCTTTTACCAACTGAATTTCGTACATGGCAGCTGGAAGCTATGTGTCAAATGGACAAATGCTTATCAATGATATTAAGTCATGCTCAGAATATAGCCAACCACTATACATAGCCTTCATAGATTACGAGAAGGCATTTGATTCAGTAGAAATATCAACAGTCATGCAGACACTGCGGAATCAGGGCATCAATGAAGCATATGTAAACATCCTGGAAGAAATCTATGGGGGATCAACTGCTATCATAGTGCTTCATAAAGAAATCAACAGAATAGCAATCAAGGAGGGTGTAAGGCAGGGGGATACAATCTCCCCAATGCTATTTAGCGCGTGCTTACAGGAGGTTTTCAGAGGCCTAGAATGAGAACAGTTAGGGATAAGAGTTAATGGAGAGTACCTTAGTGACCTGCGCTTCGCCGATGACATTGCATTGCTGAGTATCTCAGGGGACGAATTGCAACTCATGATTACAGAGTTTGACAAGAAGAGCAGAAAGGTGGGTCTCAAAATTAATCTGCGTAAAATGAAAGTAATGTACAACAACCTCGGAAGAGAGCAGCACTTCGAGATAGGTAATAGTGCACTTCAAGTTGTAAAAGACTATGTCTACTTAGGGCAGGTAATAACCGCGGAGCCGAACAACGAGATTGAAGTAAGTAGAAGAATAAGAATGGAGTAGAGCACATTTTGCAAGCACTCTCAAATCATGATAGGTAGATTGCCACTATCCCTCAAGAGGAAGGTATATAAAAGCTGCATCTTGCCGGTACACAGCTACGGAGATAAACCTGGAAACTTACAAAGAGGGTTAAGCTTAAATTGAGGACGACACAGCGAGCAATGGAAAGAAAATCGGTAGGTGTAACCTTAAGAGACAAGAAGAGAGCAGAGTGGATTAGGGAACAAAGGGGGTTAAGGATATCATAGTTGAAATTAAGAAGAGTAAATGGACATGGGCCGGGCATGTAG